ATAGGTGCCGAGCCTGCATTTTTTTAATCTTAGGATGAAAAATTTTAGAAGTCATCTTAAAAATGTACGATAGATGCATAGTTTGCCAACATCTTTAGGGAGTACCCACATAAAGTGGTAATCCTTTAGTGGGGCTAGAGGACTCAGAGCAAGGGAAGGAAAAGCCAGAAAGGCTAACGCTGGACAGGGCCAGGTCCCAGCACCAGAGCTGTGCTGCAGGAAGTGGGCTTTGTCTGGTTGATTACAAGTTATAGTCAGCCCCCATGAAAGGGGGTACATTTCAAGACCCCAGTAGAGTCTGAATAGTACCAAACTTGATATATACTATGAAGGAATTTCTTTTTCCTTTACAATGTCACATATAGAAGACTCTTTTCAAAAATATATATATGTGTATTTTTAGATAGGGGTTCTCACTATGTTGTCCAGGCTGGATGTGAAGGAATCCTCCCAGCTCGGCCTCCTGAGTAGCCAAGGATAGAGGCACCTGCCACCCTGCCCAATGCAAACTTGCTCTTACCATAGACCTTAGCAACCTCAGCTTGTGGGGTTTTTTTTCTTTCCTTATTTCACCTTTTCACTTAAAGGAAATACTTCACGGCTTATTTGTGGCAAATCTGAATCACCAGCATCACCACTTCGGGCCTTCATTAAGTGAAGTAAGGGTTTCTTGACCACAGACTATGATACCATCGATGGTAGAGACGTCCACTCAGTGACTAGTGGGCAGGCATTATGGAAAAGGAATGATTCATAAGGGTTCGCATCCCAGGCAGTAGGGAGCGGGAAGATTCAAGAGTTCATCCTGCCACTCAGAGCAGTGTGCAACTTAAAATTCATGAATTGTTTGTTTCTGGAATGATGCATAAGGGTTCACATCCCAGGCAGTAGGGAGCGGGAAGATTCAACAGTTCATCCTGCCACTCAGAGCAGTGTGCAACTTAAAATTCATGAATTGCTTGTTTCTGGAATTTTCCATTTCATGTTTTCCAACTGCAACTGACGGCAGGTAACTGAAACCTCAGATGGAACCGTGGATAAGACGGACTGCAGTGGTAGGAGGGGCCTGGAACTCTGCTTGCTTTGACAGGCTCCTGAAAAGCAGATGTTCCTTTTCTTGTAGGTAAAGCTACCTGCTGATGTATTTGCTTCCCTAATTCAGACAAAAGAGAGCACATCTGTATCTGTAGAGGAACACAGTATTGTCTCTTAACTCAGCCATCATGGGAAAAACTAGCCTACACCAAAGATTCTCTTCCTGACTAAAGTCCTCTGAGCCAGGGTCCTTTGAGCCCTCTTCTTTACAAGGCCTTAACCTTGGCCTATAAAGCCTTGAACAAACACTAATATGTTTCTAACAGCTTGACGCCACCTCCCTCAGTTGACTCTAGCCATCCTTAATGTGCCAGTCCGAGAAAACTCAAGGTCATTAAAAGAATTTGCTGCTTATGCCAGCCAGCGCCTGACCTTCTCCCATCTCTGAGAGGGCAGGAGCTTGACTTCTAAGTTCCAGTCAGCAATCCTAGAGGGTTTCACATGAGCCCCTCTCCCGCTCTTCACTTCCCTGACTGTACCAAGACCCTGCTGATTCCCCTTCACACTCCTCCTCCCCCCTTTAACACACCCTGTCTCTTCGGCACCAATGCAAGCTGAGTTCCCTGCACCAAATCTGCCCTCACCGCTCAACTGTGCCTGGCTTTGCTTGTCTTTGATCCTTATAACCAACAAGGTTTATATGCACTTTGCAAGCATTTAGATGGGTATTCTTTTCAGGAGCTTCTTACATTAAAAACAACGTTGTTAAGTGACACAGAGCAAAGCAACATGCACACGCTGGTTTAGAAGATGAAATCAGCAGTAAACTACTCACGGTGCGGATGAGCCAGCTGATCGGAGAGTGTCTCTGAAAAAGCGCAGCAATCGCATTCTCCCACCACCAGCCTTTATCTGCCGAGTGAGTGTACGTGTTACACAGGTGTGTGTATATACGTGTGTACAACAGATACGTATATTTTCTAACAATATGCAAATACTCAAGTTTTGAAAACAGAATCCTTTGTACCTATATACAATGATAATTATGCTAAAGGAACACATTCTATGAATAACTCCAGGCAAAATTACATTATGTAGCTATCAAGGGAGGTATCTCAATTTATTGCATGTGAACTTTATGGTCACCCTGTATTTGGAAAAGTGTAGGAAATTTATATCTTCCAGACCTTTCAATTTGATTTGAGCTCACATTTTTTTTTAAAGTACACATTTAAACTCATCCCCCTAAATTACTCTCCAAGAACTTTAGAAGTCTCTATAGGAGATCTATTGGCAAAGAAAAATTTTCATTCAAGAAATAAAGTCATGGTAACAAAAGAAAAAAATAGACAAATTGGAAATTTAAAATTTTTTAAAATCTTATGCATTAAAAGATAATTATCAACAGAGTAAAAAGGCAGCCCACAGAATGTGAGGAAACACCCGCCAGTCATGTAGCGGATGAAGGATTAACCTAGATGCAGAGAACGCCTCACACTCAACAGCAACCAAACAAACAGCCAATTCCAGAACAGGAGCGGGGCTGGAATAGACGTTTTTCGGACATGGTCAACAAGCACGTGAGCAGAGGTCTGGCATCACTCATCAGTAGAGACCTGCACATCAGAACTACAGTGAGATACCAGCTCACATCCACGAGGAGAAGGGCCATGAGCAAAAAGCCAGAAACTAGTACGTCCTAGCGAGGGTGTGGAGAAAGCAGAACGCTCACATACTGTTGGTGGGAATGTAAGATGGTGTAGCTGCTACAGAAAACAGTTTGGTGGTTCATCAAAAAATTAAAGAGTGGCTTGGTGCCCATAGTTCAGTGGTTAGGGCACCCGCCACATGCAGCAGGGCTGGCAAGTTCGAACCTGGCCTGGGCCTGCTGAACAGCAATGACAACAGTAACAAAAAAACAGCCAGGCATTATGACAGGCACCTATAGTCCCAGCTACTGGGAGGCTGAGGCAAGAGAATAGCTTAAGCCCGAGAGTTAGAGTGCTGTGACGCCACAGCACTCTACTGAGGGTGATGGAGTGAGACGCTGTCTCTAAAAAAAAACAAAAATTAAAGATAGGCTGGCCATGATGGTGCACAAGTGTAATCCTAACACTCTGGGAAGCCAGGCAAGAGGATTGCTTAAGACCAGGAGTTTGAGATTGCTATGAGCTATGATGCCACAGCACTCTATCCAGGGCAACAGAGTAAGACTCTGTCTCAAAAAAAAAAAAAAAATTAAAGATCACCAGAACTTTTCCTCCTGTCTAACTCTGTACTCTGTGACCAACTTCTCCCTTTCCCCACCACCTTCTACCCTCGCCTGCGATAACCACCATTCTATGCTCTGCTTCTGTGAGTTAGCGGTTTCAGATTTCAGATTTCACATCTAGGTGAATATCCAGCGGTTATGGAGATAGATAGTGATAAGGGATGTAAAACATTAAGAAAGGTCTAGTGGGCTATTTCCATCTCAACCTGACACAACCCGCCTCCACAGAGCAGATGAAGAGAGAGTTAAAAATATGGACCACATCTGTTCATTCTGACCACGTGGTCAGCGCTCTGTATGTCCGTTTGGTGGGGGCAGCACTGGACAGAACTGAACAGGGATATGGCTTAAAATGTGCATGAGTGTTTTGATTACCTCGCTCATCGCCAGAAACCGTGAACTTGTGTGGGCTCTGACCAGTCCATAATCCTACATAGCCCACGAAAGTGGTCCCGGTGAACGCGACCTGAAATCCAGAGAACAGTGATCATTTCACCATTCCAACCAGAGACACATTAAAATCACCTGTCTGCCCTACAGTCTCCTGGATTTTTTCATGTAAGTTCCAACATAATAGAATAAAATTCTGAAATAGCTTTCTACTACAGGCGTTCTTAATCTTGGGAATCCATGGACAGAATTCAATAGATTTGTGGCCTTCACTGGGAAAAAACGTTCATATTTGTATTTAATAACCTCTAACTGAAATTTCTCTCCTTCCACAATAATCATGCAACAAATCATGCAGTAATAGTTGTGCCTGTGATTCTGTTACCAGTAGAAATCATGAGTTTTTTCAGATACACAATGGTGGTTGCACATGTCTTAACACCTATAGTCATCACCACGCTGAAATCACCACAGCTACCAGACTAACTGCTCAGTCTTACTATTTAATGTAATATTGAAATGGCTATTTTTCAACATAATTGACTTTCTCTTTCATGCAGAGTCACCCTATGTTGCCCTTGGTAGAATGCCACGGCATCATGGCTCACAGCAACCTCAAACTCTTGGGCTCAAGCAATTCTCTTGTCTTAGCCTCCCATGTAGCTGAGACTACAGTCGCCCACCACACC